ATGTGAGCTAAGAGATAGACAAGCATCCATGAGGAGGCCTGCGCCAAACGTCGATAGGAACGTGGAGGAGCTTTCCACAACCTGAAGACATCCTCAGGTGCTCGATCGATGGAGCGCTACGGAACATCCAGAAACGTTCGAAAATACCCCAGGATGCTCGAAAATCGTGAAAGCTTACATGCTGAAAATGTTTATAAACGCTTGAATGTCCTGGCTCTACTCTATATCGTAGAAGGATGAATAAGAAACAAGGAATGGGATCTCGGGTCTTGCATTTGGCCGAGCTTATGTCCCGGCAACGATTTTCAGATGGTGCGCTTTGCGGGGAGGTTACGTCCTCGCGCAGAGGCCGGGCGCCAAGTGGCGGGTCGCGTTGTCCCCATACCGGCGCGAGAAGTAGTCCCCTCGAGGATCGATTATTCCCGCCCTCGACGACAAGATGAGGCCCCGACCGTGGTCATGATCGCAGTATCCGAGCGTGTAAGCCCGTCTGCGATGGTAATCACGAGCCCATAGAAAGTTATGCGTGGAAGACAAGCCGCGGCCATGAAACAGTCCCTGGGAGATTGGTTTCACTGGAATTCGACAGACTTGCTCCGATAGACAAGATGCTTTCGGCTGAGAAATGATATCATTGTGAAGTTCTGTGTTCCTCTTCTTTTGTAACGGATTAGCAAACCAAGCGAGTAAGCGAACGGGCAGCCTGTGAGCAAGCGAGAAACGCTAGTAAGGCTCTTCGGAATATTTCGACATCGCTCACCGAACTCAATCGACTTCGGTCGGTGCGTGCTCGCGTGAGATGAAGACCAACTTGAATCAAATCTTACTGACTATATAAGAGAGCTGTTCTCCCTCAGATTCCACAGTCATCAGAGCTGAACTAGAGTAAGTAACCAAGCGGTGGGAGAATTTGTTCACCCTACTAATTCCTCCAGTTCGCTCGGATTTGCCCAGCCTCGGAGCGGCCTCCGAGCTCGCAGTTTGAACCGGCTGAATTTTTCATCGATTCTCCCCTCTCAAGTGGTGCCTGTGTTTTTGTGGTGCTCGGTATGGATTTCCCAAGTTGAAGTGTTCCGCGACTTCTAAATTTAGCACGTCGTGCGTGTTCTGTATTTTTTTGAGGAATAGCTCTTCAGCTAGAGGCATTTGTTCCGCCTCCACTCGATAGTCGATAACAAGCACTGCGCTTCGAATCTGACGCCTCGTCTTGAATGACCCGTTCGGAACAAACGCTTCTATGAAATCTGATCTCTGTTCTCGTTTGATTGAAGGTCACAGAATGAAGTGTGCAATTCTCCTCGCCGTTGCCGTCATGTTGGTCTGCGTATTCACGCCCAGCGTCGAAGCTCGATCGATGAAACGAATCATCGGTCTCGGGCTCCTCGGGGCCGCCATCGCCCCGAGATTCGTCCCGGTACCGATTCCAGAGTGAGTATGAAGAATATCTAGAGAATTCCCGCAGATTATTATCGACGATCCGCATCAATGGCTCGGAATTTCAAGCCTGCAAGATATTATCTATTCCGAGCACCTTCCCGAAATGGCGAAGCGATTGAGTCGATTCCTCAATTTCCTTTTTTTTCGATACAGCTACAGTGGGCACCCGAGCCCGGGCATCTCGATCGGCGCTGGAGGCTCCGTGAATATCCCGCCTTTCTTGCCATTCTGAGTTTGTTGCGGATAGCTGTGTGCTTGATTGATTGGCTGGTGGATTGATCGATTGCTGTGCCTCCACTTTCGTTCATGGTGTTCAGGAAATGTTCTCTGTTTGTTGCCAATAACCTATCGCCGTTTGCGTATTTTCCTGGACGATCTAAAGCTCAGAGCGGTCATCGGGGGGTCGTTGTCTCGAACATGAAGTCGTACGTCTCTCCAATCGAGGATCATGATCCTTGCGTGCCTGTGGGTCTATGATGATTGCATGAACGCTTCTTCTTCATCTCCAATTCACACACGCTTATTCCAAACTCTGCCTTTGTCGTGAATACGTCGACTTCGGATTCCGGGACAACTCTGATGCCAACTCAGGAGCTCTCGTCGAGTTCGTTGAAGTCGCGAGTCATTGAAGAATTGATGAGCAAGGGGTTTCTGTACTTCGAGCGAATGAGCGCATGAGGGAATCATTTAAACTAGGGCGATGCAGAGCGATTGCGCAAAGCGTTTCTCTGACTCTTCGTTTTTGTTGTGAATCTCCTGTCTCAAGTAATTTATGTTTCACATCGAGAACGTTCTCAGTGTCAATGTCGTCGCCATGTTGTGATCTCGTAAATAAACGTTTCCATTTTTTTTATCCATATCGATTGCGTTCGCTCACGATTAGTTTTCCCATAATAGCTCGAGAGGTTTCCCTGAAGCCGAAAGTCCTTCATGAAGAATTGATGGGTGTTAAATATCCGCCATGGAGTCGCAAATATCATCAGAGACGGACAGAAACACCGACGCAATTGATCCCGGGCGTTTTTAGCTATTTCGTCTGGGCCCGCAAGCATTCGGATTGTTTCGGAATAAGCGACACAATGTTGCTGAAAGCGTCGGTAATTGGTCGAGCATGCGACGTCAGATTCTGTTTCTCCCAAGCATGCCGCTCCTCGTAGAAAAACACCCATTGCCGTAGTCTATTTCGCCAAGCTCGTTCTTCTTATCGCAATATCGATTCACGAATGCTTCCAACGTTTTCATTTTGGGATTTCTTGATCCGGAACGCTGAAGATAGATTAAGCTGTCACGATTACTTACGCTACATCACAATGTCTTGGTTTTCGGAAGGAGTCTTATTCGCCCATTCAGCCGTTCTTCCGTTTCAAATCAACGTGGGTCGAGTTTTCTCTCGAGGAAGGTCTTTTGGACTCACAGACCGTCCGGCGGATGGCTCGGGATTCACGCCATTGAGGGAGAAAACAAACCGACCGGATTGCGATTAGTGAGCTGGGAGTCTGACCGCATCATCAGAAGCGGTCACCGATTCCCAGACCCGCCCGATGCTTGTCGGCTGACAAGCTAAGGATATACAAACATGATGGAATTAGAAATGGGATACTACAAACGGAAGGGCAGTCTCTGACATACCGGCATCTGCCGTCTCCGATAAAGGACAGGCTCCATTTCACATTGGAAATATGATGAATGATAATATATTGTACAGGAGCCCATAGAGGTAGCCGAGGCTACCTGGCTGCTTCCGGGGCTACCAGGCTTCGCTAGTCGCCTATCGGAAGTCAAAGAGGCTTGCCGTCATCAGCTCGACCGAGTGTGGCCCATCCAGGGAATTCTTGGACTTTCGCCGCTCAAAAAGTTGAGAGTGGCGTTGTTCGACAAGTGGCGCCAGAGAAAGTGTCATCGGTAAAAAAGACATTGGCTATTTAAGCGCGGAGCATGACGAGCACAGGCCTCATTTCGACACCCGTGTCGCAAAACCGAGTGCTCGTGTCTTGGGATCGGGAACAACACTCTTCGAGGAATACCCTAGCCGCATCGGAGCCCCACGAACCCAGCAGGCCGTGCCCTAATCATAACAATGAAATCTCAAGACCTTCATCTTCGAAACGCGACTGGTGAGTTTCGGAGGAACTATATGCTCCCGGTGTAGAGTTCTTTCTTAGGAAACGTAACGGATGCATACGTCTAAGACTGATATTTCTGCCGTACGTCCGACTGTTGAGCAGATGGAGCTGCTTAAAAAACTGAGGCTCTCCCCCTTCGCAGATTAAAGCCAGAATGCATACTCCGGATCGAGTTCTCGCAGTGTTCTTCGCGGTTCTACTCTTGGCGGTCGGAGGTGAAGGATACTTCAAAGAGAAGAAATTACTCAAGTTATTGTTGGTTGGCGCCGCTCTCGCTCCCCGGGGTTTCATCCCTATCCCGATTCCGGAGTACAGCCATCAGAACGATGACAGCGATCATCATAGGGTAGTTCATTATGATGTTGGTCATCATTACGGCCACCATGGATTCGGCTATCATGGATATGGCTTCTGATTATTTTCGAGGTTCTTGAGGCTAGTATGCCGCTCTTTGAAACTGGCGATGAGAAGTTTGTGTTGTGTTCTTCGCGTGGAGACTATCCGTGTACAGTGAAACCTCGTCAACGAAGTTAGAAACTATCGCTAGGCTGCTCCCGAACCGAGAATTCCATGATCCGTTTTTTTTCCGCGACTCGAAGATGATCTTCGCTGCCGCTTCCGGTGTTCTGAGTGCCCGCTTCCGACTGTGATGATCACCGAGGTCGAAACTCGAATTTCCCCTTTATCCAAGCGTCTCGGAATGTCATCGCGATAAGCGAAATATTCTGTCACTGTCCTTTGTCCTCCTCTCAATAAAGAGTAAGCCATTTATTTTTGTGACATGTCGAATGGATACGATCGTCTTCACACTTGATGAGTCGGATCGCTCGCGTCGCTGCCATCCAGAATCAGACAGACAACATCGACTGCTTTATAAGCCTCACGCTTTCCCTGCATATATTTTCTCCTGAATTCCTGTCGCTTTCCCCTTGATTCGCTGAAATGAAACAATCATCCGAGTCAGCGGAGGCACACGCTGAAATCCGTCTCGCATGGTCCTGATCGCTGACAGAATTTCGTCAAACATTTTTTCTCGGCTTAATTGCTGACTCACTTCGCTTGAAACAGCGCTGGTGGGCGAATTCGTTCAAAATTGTGAAAGCACCATTCAAAATGAAAGGTTAGATATCTATAGACCGTGGTGGCGCACGAACACTCTCATATACCCAAAACAAATGCGAGCGGAACGGGTGGTTTTATCATCAGCTATCAGCGAAAGACGGAAAGCTTTGACGAGTGGATACTACGACTACCGCCGGAGTGCTTATTGTTGGTCAGCTCGTTGGGCTGCGCTGGGGGGGAGGTGGCAGGTGGCGAGAACGACGGATATGTCGTTACCGTTCATGGAAAAAGCGGCTGCTTCGATCGACTAGAGGAGTCGTGTGGCAAGGTAAGTGGTCAAAGGAAAGAACGTTCGACTACATAAAGTGAAACCGACGCATGACCGCCATCACTGTGCCCGACCGACGGGACCTCCAGCTTAGAGAAAAGTGCGTGAACTCGGATATAACCTCGGCGAAGACGCTCAAAGTGAAACTCGCATGTCGAAATCAGCTTGTCAATGCGTGGAGCTACCCATTCGCAATGATCGCGTAGAGCTCGATCGGATCATGAAATGCTTGTGCGGTTCCCGGACCTAACCGATCGTTTACCCGTTGCAGGATGAATCGTAAAGTTCTGCTCGCAGTCCTTGTAGTCGCGGCTCTTGCCGTCTCTAGCGAAGCTCTTTTCAAGGAGAAAAAATTGGCGAAGATGTTCCTGCTCGGCGTGGCCCTCGCTCCTCGCGGATTCGTTCCCGTACCGATCCCACAGTGAGTGTCCCCTCGACTCTGCAGCCTGAGAGCCTGCCCTCAAGCCTGATATTGATCCCAAATCCTGATGCGTGTTTCCATTCGCTCAGTCAGTGATATGGGAATCGATATTGACGACGATGATTGGAGGCCTTCCCCTCTCGAGGATCAATAATAATCAAAGGAGCTCCGTTCCCCAGGTACAAGCACAGCTACGGCCATGAGCATGTTCATGTACAACACCACCACGGTCACCACTACGATGATCACCACCACGGCTGGCATTAGATTTCGCTGACTGACTATGCACTATGCAGAGATCGATGATTGACCAGACGCTGATGAGGGCAGTCGATCTAGATGCTCTCTCTGGTGGCTGCGATTCCCGAACTCACCTCGATCTGCTTCTTCCATTTCTCCGTGTGTCGATCGTCATCGCTGTACACTGTATATAGTTTTGAATGCATCACTGCGTGCAGCCGTAATTTATGTGCTACAGTTGATCTGTGTATTTTCGGGTCAGTCTGTTCTTTGATAGAATAGCCCCTTGTACATACTCTTTGGAAATATATGTAAATTGTGTCATAAACGTGAGCGTGATGTCCATTGTCTGTGTCATTGAATAAATCTCTGTGAACGGATTCAGAAGAGAATTATTAATTCGCCTCGAAGACCTGAAACGACACGGGACAGTGTCGTCCTCCGAAGACAGGCAGATAGAAAAGAAAAGGAAACCATCTCTGTCTAGAGTAATGACTTCAACAATTATTATGAGTTTCATTTTTATGGAAACCCTTGGGTCCCTATGAATTTTTTAGGCTACATAGACTATTCAAGCCTCAGCCAGGAAAGTTCACGTCCTTCCAGCTTCATTGAACATGATCCCCTGGAAGCGCGCTCCCGGAGCTGAGGGAAGCTGTGATCGTGCATTGCGGGTCGGGATGGAGTATGTACCTTCTCGATCCTTCACGAAGATGATTGTCGGTAGGAGAGAAATTGTCTGCTTGCGGTGGAAGAGGAGCTCACGGCCAGTCTAGTCAGCCAGGAAAGTCGGAGGCCTCTCGGATTTTTCCCGGGCGGGGCAAGGGGAAGTGAGTTATGCGAGAGTATTGCTGTCGAAACCGGATCGGAGCTTGATTTGATGGCGACGGGGGAATTACTGTTCCGGTACTCATCACTCGATCGTATTCGTCTTCCGACCCGCCGGGTGCAGTCTCCGCAGAAGAGCACCCCATCAGATCTCATGGCCTTGAGTCGAAACTAAGATCCGGTATGAGTCGGCTCTTGAGTCACGACAGGTTTTCGTTCCTTCGAATGGGATCGCTTGCCATGATTGAACTTCGTTGTGGCTTTCGGCGTCGATTTCGGCAGTACAGAAGTGGCAGGTCGGCCGGAGGTGTACGAGACATTGCTCGCCGACGCACGTCTGAAATTGGAATAACGATAGAACCTCCGTTCCAATGCTCGACAGCGAGGTGTGGAGGCAAGGGCCGTCTGATGCCTATCCGCTCCCAGGCGGTGAATATCGAATGTGCAACAAGAAGACTGACCTCTTCTGTTTTTCGTCCATGCGCTGGGAGAAGATCGGACAATAACACAGAGACTGATCTCTGCCAAAGTATTCGCCATCCTCCAGAGTCTGAGGCAATGGCTCATGGGTCGTCTCCGGTATGAAGAAGAGGAGCACCGCGGCCGTCAGCGCCAGAACTCCGACCACCACGATCAGAGCGTTCTTGTTGATTTCCACGAGATAGGCCACCAACGTTGCGAGCACGTTCCCGAAGTCGCCACACACCTGGAAACGAGGTTCGAGTTGAAAGCTCCGGAGGTTTCCTTGACCAGTCCCGGGAGACATCCCGGAGAGTTTCGGACTCCGGCGCAGTATCGGAGGAAACGTACCTTCGAAAGCAATACTCCACGACCCCTCACTACAGTCGGGAATAGCTCCGCTGCGAGTTGATAGGTGATATTATAGGAGCCCGCGAGAGAGACGATCAATAGAACGGCCAAGAGCATGTAGACCGTCTCTCCTCCAGCGTCGCCGATCAGGGCGAAGGTGAAAGCGAGAATCCCTGCGCTCGCCATGAAACAAACATTGGGCCACCTGCGCCCGACGGAATCCAGACAGAAGATGGTGAACACGTTGATGGGGAGCTCGAACGCCGCCGACATCGAATATGCGGGATAGATGCTCAAGCCGAGATGACCGAGACCCAAGGTGTCCGCTTGATAACACAAACAGATCAGGAACCTATTTTTCGAGAATTGGAATCATTTTCGTTATTCTTTTCTTCGTCATTGCGAGGACACAGTTCGCGGCTCGATACCGGAAATACGGTCGGCCATGGCCCGCGAAGTCCCCGAAACCTTCCTATGGGAGCGCCCGCTCCCCAGAGTCGGTAGGTGGATTCGAACCAGCTATGCCCCGCTCGATAAAACGTCGTTCGACGCAGCAGAAGCGGATATTTGCACTCGTGCTATCCGCATGTACATACACGTGACGTGCGGAACGCCCTGACCTCATGGTTGAACTCACCACGAGGAAAAGAGGAGAAATGTTGTCCGCCGAAGATTCGGTGTTGTGACTAGAGCCACGGTTTCAGCCCAAAATGAAGAAGTCGACGCGTTCGATTGGTCCGATGCCGAGGTGTCGATGGAACCCACGTCACTCGTCGACGTGGAGTCGATTGATTGCTGTTAATTCAGAGAGAAGTTCTTGAGCCTCGCGTAGGGTAGCGAAAAACTGAGGCTTCGATTCCGACTTAGCTCTCCCTTACCAGCAACGTTTTGAAGTCGATTTCTGAGACGTCCCGCTTGCCATTGATTCGAGCGATCCTCATAAGGTTATTCATAGCCTCGTCGATTCGACCGACGGTCAGCAACCAGCTTGCAGACTCCGGAATGATCCTGGAAGAGTTTCGTGCGCTCGAGCGAATTGGAAAAAAACAGCGAGTCTTCTAATCTCAAACTGCCGACAGTGTCAGTGTTCGGTATAATGAGCAGCTACTCGAATGGCGACTCCTTATTCCTGATCTCAAGGCTCGGGTTAGCCAACGGACCAACGCCGATCGGCATCGCATGGTACTCACGGACACATTAGTATGAGCGCTACACTGATGACACTCGTTGTAACCAAGAGGTACTGGTAGCCGAACACGTATTTCGCGTACCACGGATACAATCCCGCGAGAACGGTCCATCCGGTAGCCCAAGCTGTTCCAATGATTGTGCGGTGACTCGGTATAGTGTACTCCATGACTGCGGATTATCCGATACTTATTTCAAAAATTAATTGCGAGATATGCCACCTGAATTTATATAGGAATGACGTTGTCACGACTCGACAGCCCGGGAGGGACCTCACCCAGGAGGAACACGATGGAGCAAGTTGTATCCGCTCCGACTCCAGCTAGGAACCGAGCCAACATAATAGCGATGTCGTTTCGCATAACTAGCGGTAATAGGTTCGAAACGGCTGCCAATGAAGCTAGCGCGAGAATGGTCGGCCGCCGTCCATATCGATCGGAGAAGAAACCCGCCACGAGGTATCCCACCATGGAACCGAGGGAGAAAAGTGTGTGGGTTGCGTATTGTTTCCAAGAGTCTCCGCAAACCCAATTGTTCTGGAAGAGAGAGGAATATGTTTGAGATTTCTATCCGCAGCCGGTAGAACGTCCCACGCGCAACATCTAGAGAGTGGCGGAGTTCCTGGAAGAAATTCGAAAGTTGCGGACGTCGCCGTCTCTTGGGCCACATCAATAGTGCCCGCGCCGAGTGGATGCGCCCGTGAACGGGGAACAACGATCGATGGACGCCAGCGTATAGCTCACTGATTGCAACGGAGGTTCCGTCACTCATTTCAATGGTCAGTTTTCGCACTAGATCCTCTCTGCAGAGCTGGGAGACTCTGAATTTATTTAACGGAAGCGGTGCCCCGAGCAGAGGGGATCCTCCGAAGGGTTGATCGACGACGGCATGACTTCCTCATCGTCTATCCTACTGATTCACTGATGATATCTCATAAGGTAATCATGCACTCTTCTCGGGCTCTCTGAAGAGCATTCAGGCGATGAAGTGCTCTAACGACGAACCTCAGTTGCCAAAGTTGGGAAAAGCTCTCCCATGTTGAACTCCCATCCCCCCTCACAAGTGTTCACTGTCTCGTCGGCAAAAAGTTCACTTGATTCGAATTCTTCACCGTGTCTCAGCCCGCACCTGTAGAGGAGCTCAGATGATCCATTCAACCGGCATCCGTACTCATCGGGAGGCAGCAAGATGAAAATCTGCAAAGAAAACGTCACAGATATAAATATCGTAGATATCGAGCAGAGCCACTTCTAGGTACTCCAAAGGACGCAGATGCGGAAACGTTTCCCAGAGTGACCGGCGGCGCCGACCTGCTTCGCAATACCGCCTGCATTAGTAGACGCTGGGAGCAAAGACCCGAGCCCCGATTCCCAGGTAATGACTGGTCGATAATCCCGCGCTTTCCGAAGTCAACAGTGAGTGGCGGTGATGCACTTTCTTTGCGCATCCTTAAATATCGGCGGCGAAGCGATAATTAGGAGGCAGTGCTCAAGCTGCGACATTCCGTGAAAAGAGTTTCCAAACAAAACGTTTATCTTTGCAGGAGCTGATAAACGAGACCTGGCGGAAAATACCACAAACTGAGATGACGATTCCGAATAAGAATCGCAGACAATGCCTCGAGATCCAGAGAATTAGAGAGGGAAGGGGAAATGGTTGAGCGTCCTTTCCTTGGATACGCGAACTACGGGAGCCGTTTGCGACAGCAGGTGCTCGGTCGAGGGATCATCTTTGCTCCGACTTCGATTCCCACGACCCCAAGCCTGAATCTTGCGAGGAGCATTGGACGCCGTCAATGAGGCTGATTAAACATTCTGATCCGTGGAGCTATCTGAACATTACGCCTCACCTGCGATAGATGGTTGCTGGAATAATGCAGGGTCGCTGTCAGCAGGAAGCCGGCCACCAGGAAGATTTGGAAGCGTCCGAATCCGCCAGCCACTTGGAGAGCTTCGTCGAAAGGACTGGCATTGTCCTCGTCGGACGAAGTATGCATTCTTGGCAAGGGGGCTGCTGAGTTTCTCAGTCAGCGGCGAGCCGAGGCGCTTCGCACCTTAGTTCTGAGCTTTTTCCCGCCTGAACTGAATATCTTGTGATTAGAATCACAATATTGGAATGAGTAGAAGAGTTGGCTGCCCGTAGTTAGCATGCAGAACAAGTCACAGAACCTGCAAGGGCGAAAAAAAATCTGTCACTACGAGCACTCACTTCTATGCCAGGGATCGACCAGAGGGAGACAGGACATAACGACTCGCCGTAGCGATCACCGTAAGGAGTGGAAAAAAAATCACATCATCCGGCTCTTCCAGCGTCAGGCGTGGAGCGAGTGACCACTCGAGCATCTGTCGGAGGAGAGGTCCGCGAATCTCAAGGACCTCGCACCGCTTATAGCCAAATCGATGAATGATATAGAGAACATTGGATTTGGCTCTGCTGATTGAGGATCGATTTCGTGGGAATTTTCGCTCCAACTCGTTCGCTTCCAGCGAGTCACCGTTTCGTGTTGTTTTTTCAGCTCAAGTATCTATCTCGAGCTCCATTGTCCGACCGCGGATCCAGCCTCAATCACTCGAAAAGCACATCGCTTTATTTTTCTCGCGGAACATGCTCGAATGTTGTTACAGTCTTGGGTTTCCAAACGATTCCATTTTTGCTCTCTGACTCGCTTTTCCCTGATAAAAGGAAAGAGAGATTATAATTGAGGAAAAAAGGATGGATCCCTCATTCTCGAAGAATTACCCCGATGACGGCGCTATCGTTCCGAGGCACATTTTACGATGCTCTCATTGAGGGAAATTTCCAGGCCGACGGTTGTTCACCACTTATGAATGGTCTCTTTTACGGCCAATGAACGCAAAGTGTCTCAGTGAGAAAACGATCCGTCGCCGTCGTCGGGTCTTCGGCACGTGTGATGTCAGGGAATCGATGCGCGACCGGAATCGCACTCGTACCTTCCTATACGAAAGATCGATATCCGCATCCGAGCCGCAGACTCGGATTCTAGCAACAACATCCTTGAGCGAGTAAGATCCACTCTGCGAAGCGAGAAGCGTAGGGATCAAGAGTCAAGCGGCAGCGCTGTCACATAATGCCTCTCGATTTCTCAATGCGGATCAATTGACGAAAGGAATCGAAAAAGACATTCGAAGAACTCGTGTCGAGGCAGATATTATCCCTATCACATGGCGAGAATGAATCTCCGGGGAGCTCAAGCGATAGTTTGATGGAGAGACAGATTTCCTCATCGACGATTCGCTCCCATCGTTCAGCTTTTCCCTAGCGCGATCTCAAGCGGTTCCAGCAGTCCATTGCGTCGACGGAATCACCGCTCCAACTCTCATCCCGCGCACACTCCGCGAATCAACGAACGAGACCGATCGAATCCGACGCGTGTCACTGCTACGATGCCGATTCTGTAACCAAGCACGTCCCGGTTCCGGGTTTCGCCGCGTGGATGTCCCGTCTCCGTGATTCCGAGTTAAAAGAATTCTTGGAGAAGAAAAGTCCACCTCAAGTCTTTCCGTTCTTAGGACTCGATTACAAGGGACGTGCGGACTTACCCCTGGGGTAGTTTGAGGGGGTGGGACCTTAGGCCCAAGAAGAAGAAGACGCTCAGCACGTGACTTGAGCAGCGCAAGCTCCGGTGGCTCTTCTTGAAAGGGACTCGCTCTTTATGCTCTCGGTATAGCGCCAGCGACATGCTACCCTTTCCTCGCGTCTAGGGCATCTCTTGGCGGGAACTCAATGCCTCGGCGATGTCGATCTGTTGACGGTGGCTCGACAAGGTTGGCTGTGATGCCGAGATAGTTTATAAGAGCCGTCCGCCGGTGCAATTAGGAAGACGCGGCGGATCAATTGACAAAGTTCCGTCCGCGATCCTCCAGGCGCCCTTTCTTTCACTGATTATTACCGAGCCGCGCCGCTACTGAGAGGGGGCTCGCCGGGTCGGGCCCTACCTCCGAGACCACAGGAGCCCTCTTCGTTGGAGTTACTCGTTCGATTCGCTGCGCCATGGGCTTCCGATTGGAGCAGGGCTCAAATGGAGTGACACGCAAGTTGTTAAGAGAGGGACGCAATTCCGAGGCTCATGTGGCGAGCTCAGACATTTTTTCCTCGACATTTTTCTCTCACATGTCGAGATCTGTTCCTTTCGGTGGAATCTTGGCATTTCTCACCACAGGTGTCTCAAACTTCGCAGGGACGATCGCCGAGAGAGACTCGACCGCCTTGGAGGATCACGGATCAGCATAGACAGACACGGACTCGGGCCCATTTCCCAGTGCACACTTTTCCATCGCTAGCCGGTGAGCCACCCTGAGTGGAGAACGCTGTCTGCAAAGAGCGAATCACTGAAGAAAGTGATTCTTCGAATTCATTGCAGACAGATAGTAGGGTTTCGACTCTAATCGAAGCTTCCAAGTCGATGTATTCTTAGAACTGCTGGCAGGTTTTCACAGGCGGAAGATGTCTTGCAGCCTTCCGCAATGTCAATGCCGCATGGGCGTTCTGGCCGAGTTTCACGGGATCCACTCACGCACCATTGACCGTTCCTCGGAGGATCGGCTCCTCGTTCGGGTGGAAGCGAGGCGCTCAGATCTCCGCGAGCTGATCCCTTCCGACTGTAATCTCGGCTCTCCGCCATTATCAAACCAATCGTCGGGCCGGGAAATTTTTTCGAGATTCGATCTTCTCTACCCTAATTGAGTCGAGTCCCGACCGATGGGCATATATAACTACCTGAGCTGGCGTGATCCATGAGGATTTCAACGAATCGAGCTAGGGTGCGCAAAATGTAAAAAAAACATGTGGTCTCTTTAGTCGGGGCCGACTGAAGTAAAGAGCGCCAGCCGGGCTTCTTATTCAATTCTACTCAGCGATCAAATCAATTACGATGGAGGTGACCTCATTGGGGCTTCCGTCGCTAGAGTTCCTGCCGTAGTCATACATGAGCGCTCCACCTGCCTGCACGTTGAGAATTCGAAATGAGTATCGAAGTCGATGCCCTTAGTACTGGGGCCCACCTTAATCACAGGCAGCGGTGAGTCCTTCTCGGAAACCATGTACGCACTCAGAGACGTGCGGTCCGGCGTCCCGGCACACACGGAAAACTTGTCATGGGAGACATGCGCTTTCAAGAGATTCGACTACTTCTCTCGTTCCAATCGATCGGCAGGAACGACATCGTTTTTCTGTTCCGCAGCTGCCGGGGCCATATGCAGTTCCTCGCACCTTTGATGAATGTCGCTTCGGCCAGAGCAAAGAGGAATTTTGAGATTTTTGACAATATTGTTGAAGCTCTCTGAGCCTGGGGCTTGCTCGAGGTATCGCTCAGAATATTTGATGTGGCTCGGCCGTTTACCATTCAGGATTGAGGAACTCCCGCGTTTCTTTCGTGGCTCTCGATCATTGATTCCGATTCAAGCGACTGATTACCCGCTGAACGATCTCCGTCTTCACTGGTTCAGAGATACGATGCGGCCGATTGGAATTGCTCCCCCTGATCTGTTGCACTTTTGTACCCGTTTTCGAGGCTCATCAACTTTTCCCGAATCCTAGAACATTCCATGTCGCGCACCGAGGGTAGCCACTCGATGAAGCTCGCTTGGACCTGATTAGTGAAAACACCGCACTTCGTCTTGTTCGCTCCCCTTACTTATCTGAGCTTGTTCAAGACCGCCACAAGCAGGAAAGTACGAAGTCTGCTCGGAGCTGGCGAGCGAGTTATACCTTGCATGGATCACATCGCAAGAGGCTCTCAAGAGGCGACTCCTGCAATCACAGCGGCAATTTCCTATATCTCTCGGACCATTCTCGCTGGCCGTGAACTTCCGTTCGAGTTTGCGGTAAATACTAGTCCAGGAGACGGTATTAGTAATTTGTCTCGTGCGAAACGTCATCTCGGATCGCCGCTAAAGGCCAACCAACTGCTGGTGCAACCCTTTCGCAGAGCATCAATGATTCGAGAGACCTAATGCTCGCTTTCGAGTTGCGAGCTTGCATAATCACGTGAGGTGTCCTGAGCATCAATTCAAGGGCGACATCTGAAATTACTGGAAAAAAATCTGAGCAAACGAAAGTCCGTAGGGGGTCGTGGCGGTATCCAGAATCATGCGGAGAATCATGCAGAATCCCAGAGGATGCACTCCGCGATACATGACCCCGAACTCGCGGTTAGAAAACCAAAAAAATCCTCCTAGCTTCGGCTTTGGTGGACAAGGGGATTAATTTAATGTAGATTGAGTTTTTCGCCGGATATACCTGACTCCTCGCGTCGAGCCGCTTCCAGAGCTTAATTCATTGGAGTCGTTCATTTCAGAAACTCTCTACCCACAATCTTCCGAAGATCCCAGGTTTTCTTGCGGATGTCTTCTAAGCTACTCTCCGGTAAGTGCTACAATTTCCGTCATGCTACCGACAGAACATTACGCGGCACTTCCCACTCGGATATCTTCCATGGGAAATGGAGAGATGTTCCGTAGAAACTGAGCTGTACTTCTTAAAAGAGCTCCCATTTGGCAGTCGGAGCAACCAACAGCTCCCGCACCCCCCTTTGTTATTGTTAGCAGGGACTTCGTCTCACCATGCCGTCGGATGCGAGGCTCCGAAAATGTGATACTCCCATGCTAGACTCTCGCGGTTGCATGTCTTGATCTATAATGTTATCAACGCGGAATCCATTCATCGACATCGACTCGAGAGATGATACAGTCTTGCATAATTCTTCGTATCAGGATTTGTTTTCGTTGACAGCTTGTACATGGACATTTGATCACAAAAGACGAGGAAGGAACCGCACCTAAACCGCCTCGGCCCCTGAAGAGTCGTATTCATGCATGAATCCTGGATCGAGTCGTTGAGCACGAACCGCTGCGACAGATACGCCTCTGACGACCCGCTCTCGAGTCGGCTGACAGATGCCACTGGGAGAATCCTCTTACGAAAACTCAATTCGGCAACGAGAGAGTATGTTCTGCTGCTCCTGATGTTTCTGACAGCCGATTCCGTGAAACGCGTTCCCCGTAGACTAGATTGAGGACTTCGGCTTTGACTACCTCTAGAGCTCTCGGTCTTCGCCCTCATAATTTATTCGAATCAATCCGACACAATTTTGAATCGCTGTGAGCGATGTTTCAAAATAGAACAGTCTTCTCCCTTCTGTGATGATCATCGCCAGATCCGCGCTGAACCTTCGTCGTGGGGGAAGATCGGAGAAGATGGCTGATCACAAGGGACGGAAGGAAACAGAGACTGACTTCGATTGAGAATGACTAAGAATCGATGTTGCACGGGAGTCGCTTTTCCGGGAGAACCTGTTCTCGGCTTTCCAGGAATTAGAACGATTCTAGAACTTTCTGAACGCCCGGGATCAAACGTCTCACGGCCAGATATACACAGCCAAGTCACCTCCACCACTGTTCCTCGAGGCAACTCGGCGCCCCGGTTTCGGATACAGACTTTTCACACGCATATATACATAGTCTACTGATTCCACACACTATATCCCTGTCAGGGATGAACTCAAACTTTGGGTTTGCGCATGTACTGGTATAAGTGCGGATATTCGTTCCGGACGACTTGGTTGTTGAGGGGTAGTCGCTCCACCTGTTTCTTGATGGCTGCCCGAATGTTCTTATCCCTCGCGGGTCTATCGCCGGCGAGCAACAGCGCGCAGATGCGGTTTATGATGCCGGGACCTGGAATGAGAGGTCGACCGATCGGGCATGAAGGGTGCTCTTGGGACGATCGAGTGTCTCGAAAAGAAATCGCCTTGGAATAGGAAATTCTCAAGTCGGATCCTCACCCTCTGATTTCTCGCATAGACACAAAAACAGATCGTTCGGTATGGAACAATCGCCCAAATCCTCCAGGAACTTGACGATTTCGAGCTGCTCCCCGTAGGTAATCGCGTGCTTGATAATCTCCATGACTCTATCCATGATGAGGTTGTGAATCGATTCCTCCTCTGCTGAGCAGGAGCCATAACGGGAATTGCGATGAAGCTCTTTGAATGCGCCCAAGATGTCCTTCACCATCCGAGTACCGGGCAATGAAGCGCGGAAAATCAAATCAATCTGAAAAATGATGGATGATCGTTTTTAGATGAAAGAAACGACTTTCCCGTCGATGTTCTCACAAACGAGAGCATTGACGATTGCAAATGTATTGAGCATTGCCGAATGCGACGATCGCGCATGCCACGGGATACACCGAGGAAAACTGCGTCTGCCACTCACAATCTCTCTTAGTTCGCCAATAACACGAGGAGACAACACGTCCAAGTGACTGAGGAAAACCAAACTCAGCGCGTAAGCAGAGAAACGACGTTTCGTTTCGGTGTCCTTATTCCCCGAGGAAAAGTCCGCCAGATATTTGATCGCTCCGATGGCTGACTCCGGACAATATTGTAGCTTCTGAATGATTTTGGCGAGAGGACGGCCGTGCGTCCAGAGCAAGTCACGGCGAGATTTGAAGATGTGGTCAAGGATCATTTTCACCTGCGAGCGAATCTGTCAGCAAAGGAGAGCCTCACATGTGTCTCTTCGATTCTTCACGCGACGATCGAGAATCTGATTCTATTATAATTGAGTCCGTCGGGGTTCGATACATTGAACGGAAATTATCGAGACGGCGGTTTCTTGAGAGCAGGCACCTTCGAGGAAAAAGAAGATTCACGGTTGATCTTCATTGCTTGCATCGCTCGTCAGCTTCTTGTTAGTCAAGCTCAGCCTCAACGAGAAGCCTACCTGATGAATAAGGTCTCGTCGTTTGACATCCACTCGGTGGACGTTTTCCAGGAGATCCAAGGCATTCCTGAAGCCCACAGGCACAGACTCACTGGTTGATTCCAGCACCTTCGCATCATCCGGAATTCTAAGATGATCCAGGCGCACACTGTGGTTCTCCGACTGTGGACGAGGAACGCAGAAAAAATGAGGCCGATGAAAAGCCCAATCGGGAAAACTGGTAGACGCGGAGCGGAAAGAGTTGGAGGGTCGAAATGAGAGTTCTATCTTGGAGTGACTCTCCGCGGAAGAAGAATGTGACCCATGTGGGAAGTTGGACTCACCTCGAGTACTTCTATGAGAGAAGCGAATCGCACAGGATACTCGGGTATTTTGTTCACGAGAAAGAGAACATCGTCAGGGTGCAGTGGATGGGTCAACGCAAGTCGCATCGATCTTATCAAGGATTTGAGAATCTTCTCGCTGACATCGAAGAGCTTCGCTTTTTGACAACTGCAGAAAGCGACATAGGCACTACCCTGAGTCTGTGAAATAAGGAAAATTCTCTTAGATTACGCCCGGGGTGATTTTACTCTCTTGACTGATCCCTTTGAGGCTCCCGATCAACCATTTAGGCATGACACAACTCCGAAGGAGAATCCGATCGACTGTTCCAAGGAATGAGTACCATCTCGCTCAAATCATCATATCACGAACACTCACTTTCTGGCCCCGGATCGGTATTGTGTCTATGAAGAAACTGTAGATCTCGGCTATACTACTATCATGGAAGCCTACGCCTTGTACGGCAGATTCGTAGACTCCATATAAGATCGCATCGTGTTCCTCGGGTGGTATTCCTGGCCATTCTGTGATGAATTTATTGAGGTCGTCCTCCGTGAAAGGTTCGACCGAAGGCGCCTCCGAAACGATAGGCGAATCGTTTTCGAGTGTCGACTGTGGATATAATCAGACTTCAGACGGCCACTTTTCTCCATGAACATTGGACAATTCTATGGAACTCGAATGCGATCGGCATACTGTAGATGGAATCGTGAGCGGGGACGGCGAATGGCGTTCAGCGGCTTCGTTTTCCGTGCTCTCCACGCGAATTTTCTTCCCCTAAGAGTCAGGCAGAATGATAGCTCATAAAGCAATTCAGCTTTCCTACTCCCAGGCGGGAAGGTTCGATTCGAATCTCTCACCTCAGCGGCGATTTCCGGTGAGGGTTCCCGTCGTCTCTTCTCGAGGATCTTCAACGCGTTGGCCGGCTGGTATTTAGGTCGAGGCATGTTCAAAAATCGGTCGCATCGAGTCGGCCAAGCGCAACCAATATCTCACTCGGTATGTTTTCCGACTCAGCCCGCCAACAGCGATATTGACAAGTTCCTTGTTTATATTTTCCTTCCTCTTTCGCGGACGACATTCGGGACCGTCCGTCATCCCTCTCCCTCGGACTCCCCTCCGGGAGAGGAGGTTCGCTCACGGCGGGCGAATTCGAAAAAACTCCCGCCGAATCTGCACCGAAGCAGCCTGGCTTTCTTCGAACGCCTCAATCTCGAGCGGGAGATCCCGAGCTGGGAACCTATCGTTGCTTCTGGACCTGAGTTGCCGAGTTCTGAGGACCGCCTCGGAATCAGCGGCCTCCATTATCTGACCGGGATGAACTACTCCTCCGAATCAAGTCTTGCCAGAGCGGACCCCGGACTCGTGGACTTATCTTTGAAGAGTCCTCAGCTCGAGCGCACTTGTCCTCCGACTCATGGAATTGATGATCTCCGAATCTGGAGGCTCGTGGTCCTCGAGTGAGACCGGTCTCGGGCACTGCTGAAGCTTCCGTAGCGGCGAGTTGCCTCTTAGGAGCGGCAGCAGCGGCAGAAATCCTGGCGGCGCAGCGGCAGCAGCAGCGGCAGCGCCGACACGACGACGACGACCACCGCATGCGGAGTGGAGTGGAGAAACAGTGAGGCAAGGGCTGTCTCGTTGCCCTCACTCAGAAGGGACATGTGTGCCAAGATGGCCGCCAGAACTTTCGGACTACTTAGGGGGTAAAGAAGTGTGTTTTGTTTTTGTCTATCGTCAACGAACCTCTACCGTCAGCTCCAGCTCGACAAGAGCAGCCCGCGTTCAGGAATATGTGTCTCATCGACGTCAGATAGCCGACCAGCGTTCGAATACTATGCAGTTCATCAACGGGACTGGTTGGGATGAGCTACGAGCACCAGCGACGGATCCCACAGCCTACGACGAGTGCTGGAGACGATCGCTCGGACTCGTCGTCGCCGAGCTTGTTGACGTCGTCGTGTTCGTTCTGTAGAGTGAGTGTGTGACTGTGTTGCCTCGAATCGGCAGACAAGTCGACGGCTGGAAAACTCGTCGTCGTTGTCGTCGTCGCCGCAACACTACTTGCTCAATCGTTCGAGTAGCTGTTGCAGGACACGGATCAACATGTGTGACAAGGTGAAGGTGGCCGTCAGAGTGCGGCCACTCAATCGCAGAGGTGAGTGGTGGCCTAGCCACGCGATTTGCACGTACGTAATTCTGTCAACCCGGAAGTTCCCCGATTGATTGAAAGCTCCGACTCTCGAGGGAACGCAGGCGACGACGATCAGGAAAGGCAGGTGCTCGATCACCACTGGTAGGAAACCACAACCACCATCGATACCGACGACGATAGCAAATCACGAACTGTTCCGCTTGAATCGTATCCTCCGGTTCAAGGTTGCTGCCAGCAGAACTAGAAAAAAATCAACAGCTGCTTTGTTGTTCAACTTGGCATGTCATGGATTTTCGGCGAGATAGAGCGCTGCTCGCTTCCAGCGGCAGACTCGACACCGACGGCGATCGTTGTGACGTCGCGGTTGACGATCTGCGCACAGCTGTTCGTGCGGCGATTCTTTCTGAGTGTTTCTACCGGGCAATCGTCGCCGGCTGTAGAAAATGCGCGCCGAATATTTCAGCTGACGGAGCTCGCGACGGTCTGTGCTTGAAACTCGTCTATTTGATGAACGACCGTATCGAACATGCAACCGTGAACCTCTACCGCTAGTCACTCGCCCCGTTAGAACGTCGTCGTCGCCGACACCGCCTATCCGGCCGGCTGGCTGCTTTCTCGGCATTTTACCGAGCCATGAGTCCACCTTAGTCAGTCATCGGAACGAACGCTGAATTCCCGGAGTTACTTCCGTCAAAGCCGGCTATGAAAGCATCCAACAAACAGTTCAAAAGCAGCGTCTTTAAATGCGGAGTCAGACCGTAGCAAAAAAAAAACCTGTCTAACGCAACTCAACGTAAACCCCTCGTGGCGACCGCTACTAGTCGTGTGTCGTCTAGTTGCGTTCGGGCCCTCAATGATGTGCCCCCGGCGTCCTTGCCCCACTTGATGGAGGCCAGAACGGGATCTGTGGCGAGGCATGCCGATTCACCCCATTCGTTCGTGGATGAGCGCTCGCGCACTCTCGTAGCCATCCATCTGGCCGAAGGGAGCGGTGGCGAGACTCCTCAAGTCCCTTAATGCAGAGACCGCCGCAGGCGCTCGAGAATCTCAAATGGGGAGTCGACTTGGAAAATGAACAGGCAGACTTGGTAGAGCCACTCATTCCGGATATTTAACATATTTAACATCCGGACAAGTCCTTTTTCGCGTGTTCTTTTTTCGCTGCCTGACGTCAAGAACAAGTGGCATCCGCCGACGGCTCTTACGACAGGTTTCTTTCTTCTGTCGCTTTTCCGATTGGAAAGTTGAGGAGGCGGCAGCAGTAGCAATCGTGGTGGTGACGACGCCATTGACGGCCGCAGTCAGTAGTCGGTGGCATGGGCGGTCTCTCGGACCGTCGGAGGGTGCTCAGTGGTCGGAGAGCGCATTTCTCAGCCTCAGAACTTCGGAGAAGTATCCCGCAGATCGCGGTGGTCCGCAAGAAGTTCCCCAAGTTTCACCAGAACTTTCGACAGCAGTGGGCCTTGGGCGCCTTGAGGTTTTTAGGTCAACAGAATATTTTATTCTTGGAATTTGCCTCGGCAAGCAAGCAAGCCAGCAGCCAGTCAGTCAGTCATTCGGTCGGACAGACGAGAAACGCAAGGGAGCGCGCTGGCCACTCCGGTCGACCGCTAAGTGCCGTTATGGCTGCATTGGCATTGGTTCGTTGGTGCCCGACCAACGACGAGAGGCTTCTTTCTAGAAATTTTTAGAATGCTAACACTGACTTGAGCAGCGATAGGACAGGCGGTCTGCGATTGTCATTCCGACCCCCGCTTCGTTCCGGTGGACAATCACTGTCAACAAAAATTCCGCGCGTCCAGACCCGCGGAACACCAGAGGTGTCAACGAAAGAGAATCTCTCCGAGAAAGTGCAGTGGAGAACATTCGCTCGGTTAGAATTCCTGACCCTCCCGGTCCCGAGGAATGCCTTCAGCGAATCATTGCCATATGTCTGCCCCGTCTCCTGGGTAGTTTCAAAGAGTGTGAGTGAATACCCCTGATCTGACTGGAGCAGGAATTGTGAGACCAGGCCGAGAAATTTCTCGAGACAATCTTTGCCGTGGATTTTGTCACCCAGGTTCACCTGCAGCTGTTGTTCTTGCTGACGATGATTTCATTCATTTTGACCGGATTCGTGGAAGATTGCCCCCATCAAATGGACATCGCGAGCGGGTTGTTTGTGCCGGGGCTGACGATTTTGTTTCAAAGACTCGCTATTTCGAGCACCTTCGCCGTCGAATGTTCACGGAAATAATATAGCTCCGTGGACGTCATTTATTCGTCTCCGTGGCACAGCGCAATATGCGTAAAACGATCATCGGATTTCAGATTGACGCTGGGTCGGCTCTGAGATACGAAGGACTCGTTCCCTGTTTTGTTTCTCCGACTCGGGTTCACGAAGACCGTATTCTTCGCAGATCAGTGTACCTGGTGTTTCCTTCTCTTTGCACAATCAATGATAGATCCTTGAGGGCGACTCCGTCAGCTGGGGAACCCCTTGTGTGAAGCAGACGGCTGTTCAGACATCTCCAAGACCAGACCATCTTCTAAAAGTTGATGAGAGTTATTGAATATTCTCAAGGCGAAGACCTTCCCTTTGGCAACCGCCGATAGATAGCTCCTGAACGTGCGACAGCGCGGGTTGCGAGATGCGTGATTGGTATCAGAACGATTTCGGAGCATCCTTACGGAGCTCTTGCGGACGCTCACTCTTCCAGATCCTGATTCACTTTGAAAATTATTCCGATCACCGCCAGTATGGTGGTCGGAGCCTCCTCGAGACGCTTCGTCGTACTCGTTCGATGCTCATCATCGAAATCAAAACTATGTGAGGTTATACTGATTTGCTCGAGGACGACAGATGCGGGCTTCTTGGAGACAGCAGCTCGTCAGTCTGGAGACCGGCGCTGGATCCTTGAACTGTTTGACTGATTTCGTCGGAGCTCATCAATAGCGATCCAGCCTATTCCCACTGAGGGAGGGAAGCTCAATCAATAACTACGGAAGCGATCCGTATGAAATAGAATATTTTATGTCCTCCTCCTCCGTTTTTCTTGCCGAATTATCGACCTAGCTGACCCGCGGGAAGGTCTGCAGCGCTCCCTTCGTCCACCGAAATGAAGCTTCCGATGAACTTTTGACGCTATGCGAAAAAAAAAACAGAAAAATAAATTTAGTTCTCTGTCGGGCTATTTTTGTACGTTGCTGGAGAAAAACTTCCAACGAGAGCCCGAATCCCATCTCGAGGAACGACGAATTATCCTGGAAGATTTTCCCGCCGGTTTCTTCTCAGTTCGACTCTGTGACGTAAGTCGGTAGACGTTCCGTGAGTTATCGTTTTCCTCGTGTTGCGGTCTCCCGTCATCCAGCGAGCTATACACGGGGAACCGATAGCCCCGGAACCGTACATTGAATTTTTATTGTTATTCCCGGTTCGGCGGCCGGCCCCATCCAGTTTTGGCTCGTATCGATCGCGAGGGAAGCATTTTCATCGCTGATTCCCAAATCTTGTGAGTCGTACTTTCGGTTCCGGAATGGTTCTCGTCGGTCAAGCATACAGATATGCTGACTGCGTTCACAGTGAGGCTGTTCGCTATCGGTAAAGGTTCTCGATCGGACGCGAAGTACACACACACCCACACGCTCACATACAGACGCACATGAACTACGGCTGGTAATAGCAGGTGTGTTTGAAGGTCTCCCTTTTCGCTTGTTGCTTCGATGTTTGACTTTCCTGGGCTTGAATGTACTACCGTTCCGTAGCGCAGTCCAAGTTCACATGTAATTATCAATTGTCATTCAAAATCAGGGACTAGGCCACGGACGCTGAAAGGGTGGTATAGCACCTCGTGTGCTTCAATAGACTTCAACTTCTGCTTCAATGTCGAAGCTTCTCAACTTGGTTTTCCTGTCCGAAATGCTAAGCTTCTCTTCCCAGCGTAGGCCGTTCTCGTTTTTTGTGGGCGAAGCTTTCTTTCTGATTGTCCATCCGCTCAAATCAAAATCTCGTACATTCATGCAATCGAATCGTGCAGGAGTCCGATTCAGATCGAGAGCTGCGTTTCGTGGTTTTAGCGCGTCTTTGTGGCTGCTGCTCCTCCTCCTCCTCCTCTCGACAGCGAGTTTTTCCGACGGAAAAGCCCGAATGTACTTCGTCGAACTTTTGTTTGTCTAAGCGTAAAAACATTTGTCGATACAACACGGGGATGTGAACAATGTTACTCTGTTCCTAAGACCACGGATGTAGAACGGAGTCGGGGTGAAAACGCGTTGGAACGCGAACGGAAGACCCGATTCACTGCTGAAAACGACAACAACGCCGAGGATGATTACAGTTGCGACGACTACAACGCCGACGACGTTGGCTTCAACGACGGCGCTGTCCACGACCGAGTCTCTATCATCAGCGGAAAGCAATGTTGCCTCGCGTCGCTTTCTAAGATTTTCAAGCTGCTGAAACCGCCCCGCTCAAGCTGCTTGCGTGGCAAGCTGAGGCACGGACTGACTGAATGACTGACTGAGTCGGGGAGCGCCTTTCGCATCTTCGTGGATTACCGACGAAAACCACAGCTGATGATTCTGAACGGAAATTGAAATTGCGAAATACCCATCGACTATATCTGAGTATGAATGATGCTCCCAACTGGATCAGAGTAGAGACGATGATTTCGTGGAGGCGTGAGCCGGATCGTCCCCGAGCAGGGATCTTCCTGCTTGATATCGTCTCATCGTTCCCTTTCCAAGTTCGCACCGAAGAGGAAACTTCCCTGACTGGGTTTCTCGGGCATCTGTGAGAATGAACGAGATAAAGTTCAGTGGTTGTGAATAGGTGAGCTGTCCAGGACAAAGAGCGCTTTCCCAGCCGTCTGGCTAAAACAAACGTCATCGAGAGGATCGGACAGGCGACCAAGGGTCAGGGAGCGGGTCCACTCAGAATCAGGGAGGGAAATTCGGTAGGGGCTCCCGTATCGAGCCCTGTGGTGACTGAGATTGTTTGATTCGCTGCGTCATCGCGGCGCCGG